CTTACTATAATAAAACTTACGCATAACAACAGAAAGTCCAGCAGGCGATCCATTGAGCCAAGCAAATGTCCTCCTGAGACAGAATCTGTAGTAGATAATTCAGTTAAGCCCCTACAACAGTCTTTATACATTTTTTCAAATTTTAAAGCTAACTCGGTAATTAGTCGCTGCACCGTTAACTCGATAGCAAATCATTCATTGGTCAGTTCCCTGAGTACATCGAATACTTTTTCTGATTCTCAAGGACACAGAAAAGAATACAATCAAGAAAATTGCACTTTTTCTAAGAAGTTGGCCACACTCACAGACTGGTACGCTCATTCAGCTAATTCGGAAAAGAGCCCAATAACTCAAACTACTGAGAGTAGTACGTTTGAAGCACTTCCCGCGGTTCCGCCGTTTAATAGCACTGGGCGCATAATTTCCATTGATTTAACTTCATAGATATTTTAATCCATAATTAAGTTAAGAAATTGTTATTTTCAAGAAAAATTAAATTAAGAATTACAATATTTGAATAAACAATTTGTTTAAATACTTTTATATTTAATGTATACGTTTATTTTACCCTAAAATATATCCTTTCATATTCTTTAGAGAGAATATTAGAGAACATATGTATTGTACAAACAATTTGCTTTTTAGGATTACTCTTTCTCTGACAGTATAAGAAAACAACACAAAAACTGGTATATCAAGAAAAATATTTAAAGTCCCAGATTGCTTAAAATAGAAAGCATAAATGTGTTGGGGAGCGGGGCCATGAGTGGCTCAGTAGCCTTGTCACCAAGGCAATTTAAATAAAAAAGGTTATCAATGTTGCTCTGAACTGAGCCGAAAAAGCTAAGCTGGCTGATTTTGCCTATATAAGTAATAGCCACTTTGCTGTAAATGATTACATAGCACATTATTTAGATAGAAATTCGAAAGCTTATCTAGGTCATAATGGGTCATCAAGGCACCCATTGCGTCATCATTAAAAGAGACGGACGGGGTCACCCAATGATTTCCGGGGTTTGGTTTCCTACAAAGCGTGTGTATATATTCTCTCCTCCCCTTAAAAGGGGTATGAGATGAATAGTTTTGATTAGATACTAATTTTGTTTTGATTATAATTCTGCTGAAAAGTTTTTAATAAATACGGTCATACTAATTTCAGTTACTTGGGAATAATTCGTATCTGTAGCGTATCCCGGGCTTTTCTTTATTTTCACCAAGATAAGGGCTTAAACCCTTCCCTACGCCACTGAATAGTACCACGTTGCCTTTATTTACCAACCCTTTACTACACCACTATGCTGATTTTTTTCTACGCTTGCCCAATATTATTTTATCATGCTCATGCTCAAAATTTAACGGTGGTGACTCAAATCTCTTCGGGCGGAATTCCGCTGGAATTTAGAACCCCATCAATACAAGTTTCAGACGAATTCTGGCGGACGAGATTTCTGAGTCACCACCGAATGTTACTGTAGTATATACATAAATACATCAGTGGTCGGCACAATGCCATTCATTTTCACCCTACGCAGCTGTTGAATGCTGTTCGTGTGTCGGTGGAGCGCGGGAAGAAACAAAAATCGTTCCACTCATTATGGTCGGTAACCTCTATTATCGACCGCTTACCTACACACTTATAATAATATATATAGAACAGAATTAATCAGATGGTTAAATCTTACTTTTAGTTGGTAATTTCAAAAAATAGTTAGGCTCCCGGCTGTCATAACAGCTTTTGGATGAACAATTACTCAAAGTAATTGGTTTTGAGAATAAATGAGAGTAAATGTAGTTCTATTGAATTTATGGTCAGTGGGAACAGATACTTCACTTGTTCCACAAAATCCCACCGTACCCCGAGTGATGACATGTGTGAACATCAATCTCATTAATTGCCTGGAAAAATATTGTGATCTTAAAAGCGATCTGTTGTTATTTACTTAGTTTTATCACCTGTTTGTATGCCTATGCCCTGTTCAGACAGCCCCTTAAAATCACACAAACGAAAAATGTGATGCAAAAGAAGCTTATTCAATGCATATCTACGGAAATATCAGGTTATCCAAACTATCTGTGCCCAATGCTCGAAGTCAGAATATATTTACCATTCATATATAAATCATCGTTGCGGATCTGCTTGAAAAGAATTTCTTAAGTTGTCGAATCTGAAAGAAGAAAATCCAAAACGTCAGCACTGAATGCGATATTTTCCACCGATATGTAGCCAAATAAGTGAAATCAACGATAAATGTGTGCAAGTGCACGGTGCACCCTGTGTTGCGGATTGCTTGCTTTCATATCTATGAATTAGTTTTGTATGTAAAAGTCGTATACAAGAAATGGTGTTTGAAACTGAAACGATTTTACTGTTCCTCATGCTGTTGTCAAAGAATTTGTCGCTTTTAAATAATTAATTGATGAGTGTGTAAGTCGAAAATGTGTTAAAAGTTTGCAAACGAGAGGTTTAGACCAGTGTTTAAGTGAAATAAATGCGTGCATAGTATATATGTACGCAAAATTTTGATCAAATGTTCGATTGACAGCAAATCGGTATTTATATATAAAAACAAAAGGTTTGACCGGAAAAGTGTCGATCTCTGTGCGGGGCAAGGCAAATTAGCAAAATTAAATATTGATTAATCTATCGGCATAAGACCGCAGTTTCATGCACACATACGTACATATCAAGCGTTCGCTGCGCGTATGTGTATGTATGTATGTAGATTTGGGTGTTTTAATTGTGTACATATGTATGTGCAAATTAATTTGATTTGTATGTAACGACAGCTGTGGATAATGCAATGTTTCAAAAATAATTGGATGTGGATTCCAAAAGTTAAAATAATCTTTTTTTTTGGCTGATTGTGTATCGCTATTCGCTTTAACCACATCGTGAAATGCACGTTCTGTCATCGATTGATATAATAAATATTTTATTAACCGTTTCTGAAAATCGTGGATTAAAGCTTGTTTCCGAAATATCATTATAATATGATAAGGTTGGATAAGATATATCTATTTTTTAAGTCTTGCCATTTCAGAGTTTAACCTGGTATATTTTAAAAATTTCATTTTAGATATTTATATTTACTTCCTGCAAAGATAGTGGCGAATGAGTTGAGTTCATGGTAGAAACACTGCAGTTATGGAGTTCTTACACGATTAAGCCCAACTAAAGCCAACTTCGAAAGGTAAGCTTACCTTAATCTCAAATGTATCACATTATTTCCCTCTATAACATATCTTTTCTCTCCATTTTCAGGTTTAAACCATAAACAGGACCCCTATGCCTTTTACGACTTAAGTCATCAACATTATTTGCAATGAATGCAACGTTCCATTCATACAGAGATATACTAGCGGCACATCACCAAGACTCATCTAGTCCTGAAAACTTCGCCCCCATAGTAATTGACTACAGAAACTCAAACCACACAAAGGACACTGTCGAGACCAACTCAAATATCTCATCGTCTCAGCTATCGTTCATGGACGAATCTTCAAACGATTTCAATAATCAACAGTTAATTCATTCTAACTCCCTTATTAAAGTGTGTGGTGGTTGTGGAGGTAAGATATCTTGAGCTCTACTCACGGAAACTATCTTTTGAATACCACATTTCTTTATCCATATTAACAAACTCCTGTCTTCCTATTTTTTACAGATAAAATAAGTGATAGATATCTTTTATACGCTTTAGACAGATACTGGCACAATGGCTGCCTTAAATGTCACTGTTGTGGAGCTATGCTAGCAGAAGTGGGTTCCAGCTGTTTTACGAGGCGAGGCCTGATTCTTTGCAAAAAGGACTATTCCAGGTATGAATGCGAACGAACACTGAAGTCGATTATGATATACACGCTACTTTTTACCTTTTGAAGCGAGGAGTTGTTTAGAACTCAACCCCCGACATTAAACTTTCACAAACGATAGTCAAATAACCTTTAATAAAGCCAATTTAAACTCCGCATGTCTAAAGAACTTATCTGTTTGCAGAGGACAACTTGTAAAATTGTAAATAAACTTGGTATCATTGATAGAAGTTAGTTGAAAACGTTGTATATACAACGTATGTCGTTATCCTAAACTTTTTGTTTTCTAAAAGGGCAATAAGTAGCAGGTATTTTATAGTCACAGCTCTTCACTATAACGTTCTTCTTTTTTTGTCTTAAGTTTATTAAAGTTTTCAGATCTCAAAACATCTGAATGTCCAAAATAGAAAATCACCAAAACCACAATGTGTTTCAAAAAAAATTCCAGTATCAACAGAGAAACAAAACGTTTAAATTACTAACTCAAGCCTGACTAAAAATAATTCAATTCCTTTTCTTACAGCATGTTTGGCTGCTCTGGAGTTTGTTCTGGATGCGGGGAAACTATACCCCCGAGTGAACTGGTAGCGAAAGCACTTACTGGAATAAATAATATCGATTTACAAAATCAACAAAAACAAATAATTAATTGCGTATTTCATCTAAGGTGCTTTAGTTGTGCTAAGTGTGGATCAAGTCTGCGTCCTGGTGATAGGTATGTATATACAAAAAAGTGTAATTTGCAATGAGTAACCAACTAAAATTCTTTTCACTAAGGTATACTATGTTAGGGGCTAGCTTGGTGTGTGAGCAAGATTGGCACAAATTACTTAAAGGCCCCGCCAACTCGAATGGAACGCTTGGTCAAAGGAAAGGCAAGGTTGGAAGGCCCAGAAGGTCAAAGGACTAATCAAATTTAATGTCACATAAAATATACATATATTTTAGAACATAGTTCATATTTTTAAATTACCTATAAAAATGTAATTAAATCATAATATAAAACAAGACGATCTTTTAGGTGAGTTAGATTGGGAAATATACAAGCAAGGAAAATTAGTCATTGAAAAATGAATTTAAAAAAAGGTTAAGCAAGTCAAATTAAAAGATGTTTTAACTATTAAAAAACCAGCTAGACTTATAAATGTGAAAAATCACCAATCTTATTAAAGTTAAAGGACCAAAACTTATTTAATTATTTTTTTTATTAGCACTTAAAACATTCTCCCAGATGTCTTCACAGGAATCAATAACTGTTTGCGGGGAAGATAGTTTGTGTTTCATGAAAAAGCCTTGAATTTGAGCGGGACTGGCAGAGCGGCCAAAGGAGTTTACGCGCTTTCCAAACTCCTCCGCTTTCGTGGGATCACTATTGGCAAAGAAGTTCTTGAACATTTCCTCCAATTGATATTGCGTGCAATAACCAATGTACTCCTTTAAATCTATTCTACCAGGTCGAATGAGGGCGGGATCCAGGCGATCAATATAATTTGTGGTCATGAAGACAATTCTGGCTTCTGTGGAGCCCACGCCATCCAAACAGTTGAGGAGTCCACTGAAAGTTATCCTGTTGAGCCCATCGAAAGCGGATTTCTGCTGAGCAGTGGCTTCACGGGATATAAACGCTGCGTCAATGTCCTCCAGCAGGATGATACTTTGCTCTGGGGCTACATTTAGAAGGTGATTGAGTCGATCGTCGGTGAGGCCTCTTTCCGAAAGGTTTAGTAGGCACACACTGTACTCCAGTTCGCCCGCCAAGGCAGTGATGAAACTGGACTTGCCGCAACCCGGTGGTCCGTAGAGAAGGTATCCTCTCCTGTAGGGAATTCCACGCTGGGTGTACCACATGGAACTCTTGATGAAGTCCTGGCAATCGGCAATGATTTTCTCAGACGTTCCACGATCCAGGACCACCGATGCAGTCGGACGCCTCCGCCGAGGATGACCAAAGGGTCGCCATTCCGGACCCATTGCTGTGTACAGCACTGTTTTGCCTTCGGTGGCCTCCATAGCCAAGTGCCTAGCCTCTTCCAAAATGTCAAAGTAAATTGCCTTATTGTTTCCAAATGCTGTAAGGGTGACTGTTTCCCAGGGAACGCCCATCTGTAGGTCCAAAGTTTTTTGTTCCCTGGTTCGCTCCACCTGAATCCAATTGCCTCTGTATTGAAACCAATGCTTTCCGATACTGGGAATAAAGTCATAGCTGGTCTTTATAGTACCATTGTCGTTCTGCGCAAAGTTCGTCTCCACGCTCAGGTGCTGGGTTTTTCGGGCTCCCCTGATGGTGATCCATTTCAAGAGCCACTGATAGGATTTGTCCCTGCAGGGTACCTCAAGGGTAATCATGCAATGTCGTCGGAACAGGATTACACCGCCTTGTAGACCTTTCCGCAGTATTGCAGCCGCGGCACCCACTCCGAACAGTCCGAAGCCAGCCCCAAAATAGGGATTGGACGACAGACCGGACAATAGATCGGGCAGAGTCATCTTGTCTGGAAAGAGCAATATATTTTGGGTTAAAAGAAGTAGTATATGTTCAAGTTTATGGGTAATAGAACCCAGGTACTCAACCTGTTGATCAACTAACTCTAGTTCTACCATCCAAAACAAACCCTCCAAATATAAACAAGGGTGAACACATGCGAAATCGACCTTACTAACAAAAATATTAAAGAATATGGACTCTTCTCAACTTCAATCTAATAAAAAAACATCCAGCGACCTATTTTAATATCGGAAAACTTTGTTTACTTTCATTATTATCCTATCATTTGCTAACACTTTCGTTATGTAATTTATTTAAATTAAAACGTGGAAGAATAAATATTTCACTCAATGTTTAAGTCCTTGGTTTTTAGCAAGATATTTTTGTGTTTATATTGTAACTTGTCATTCACAAAATCAAATAAACACTGTTTTTATGAAAGAAATATATTTTAGTATCGTACCGGCATTGAAATAGTCCAATCCTACAGTGTTACCGTTCTTCAAGCAAGAAAATATACCATCCTATAGTAGAAATTTGAAACATACCGCGACGTAGAATGTAAAATAATGAAATATTGTGGTTTCTAGAAAACATTTTTTTTAATTATTTGATATTTGTATATCAATAAGTATTCTTAATACGTCGTGTTAGAAATTCATTAACTATGTACCCTTCAATCAAACATTTTCTTTATAGTTAAGATAATTTTATATTAGTACAATCATCTAAGAACAATAAGAATTGTAAATCATTTTTCCACCTCAATTAAGTACTTGTACCATGAGCAACTGGCGCTCTGTTCCGTGTTAAGATCTATGCAAATGCAAGAACAATTTTATTGTATCCTTCAATCTTACATTTTTAGAGGTTAAGATGATTTTATATCCAAACAATGACCTAAGGACGCTGCTCGGTGGCAACAAGGACTTCTGGGTCGCGTGGTCCGGCTTCTGGTTGTTCTGGGGCGGATGGGCGGTCGTCGTCATCGTCGTTCCTCGGCGGGTCAGCTGGAGCACCACGCTCCTTGGCCATCTTAAGATACTTATCGTTCTCCTCGCTTGAAAGAATTTTGAATGGCTGATTCTTGCCGACGATGGCCACAGTGATGTTCTGAAAGAGTCAAAAGTTAAGAGTATTGTTTAAACCTACATCCCTTGTCCAATAAGCTTACAAACTGGGCCGTGTTCTCTTTGCTTTGATGCTCATCTGTGGGCAGGGTACCGAGAATAGCAAGAATTCCGTGACAGATGATATCATCGTTGGAGCTGTCCAAGAACGTGCCCAGGTTACGCTCCAAATAGGTGCGTGCACTCTGCGAGCGCGATCCAATCGAATTGGCCTTGCAATTGAAAAAGGTCGCGGATGGCGTGACCTGATAGACATGCGGCCCCTTCTCATCGTAGCCGGCGACCAGCAGACCCACGCCATACGGACGGCGATCGTAGCGCTGAGTGGTAGTCTGCATCTTGTTACCCAGGTTCGTGATCAGTCGGGAGACCGGATAGGTCGAGTCGTACGAGTGCTTGTAGTTTAGGCACTCGGAACGCAAGTACCGGCTAAGGACACGGGCATCCGCCGTGATTCCAGCAATGGAAATGCCCAGGTGATCGTCAATGGGGATTATCTTGCGCTGAGTGGCCGACAGCTCCGAGGTGGGCTTGCACAGGGCAACGAGCACAGCGGATTCTCTATTTTTCAGGCCCACAGTTGCGGTTCCAAGTTTCACGGCCTCCATTGCGTACTCCACCTGGTGGAGGCGTCCTTGCGGACTCCACACCGTAACATCGCTATCGTACTGGTTGCGAAACTAAAAACCAAGGGTGAGTTTGTTACTAAATATCATAGCTATTTGCAATAAACAATTTACCATGACTTTGGAAATAAATGCCGCTGAGCTCAATGATGACAAGTAGAAATGCACGATAGTTAGTTATGGCCCGGCAATCAAACAAACAGACTATCGATATGCTATACAGGATTTTGGTACGGTAGGAAAAGCTTCAAAAATGGAACAGTGGGAAAAAGTTATCGATTTCCTGTTGTTAAAACATCGCATCCTTTTTTTTAAATGTTGTACTTATTAATTAATAATTTCAAATTATTATTTAAAAAAATAAGGTTTAGAAGCTTATTTTTATTATTAATATGACCTCATACAACACTATAATTTCGAAAACTAAACAAGACGCTATCAGCTGTCTTTTAGAAGCTCTACTACTAGCCATATACGATTTTTAAGTGCATTAAAAAATAAGGTAAGTAAAACAACATAAATTTACCTATTACTATGATTGAATTAAGCTCCATATATTTTTAAGTGTTCCTTTCCCAACGTTCCCAACGAACATTCATATTCGCCGTTTATCGACTACAATCGATTAATCAATAAATCTGATAAGTAGTCAGTGAGAGTGTTTACATTTTAATTGTATATTTCAGTTGGGTTGGTTTTCACTCCGCTTTGCACCGAGCTTGGATGGTTGAAGGGTATATGATTCACGCGTAGATTTTACCGTATACTCGATTGTAAACTCCGACTCAAAAGTGCTTGCATCAAAATCGTATCGTAGAAAAAAAAGAGAAATTTCAGTTCGGGCTTTGAGCATAAACGGGTGTAATTGAATTAAGTATAGAACCTATACTTAACTAAGGTGACTTCATAGAACTGCACGCACACACACAGCGAAGCATACCTATGTGCACGAAAAAGGAGAGCAGAACAAAGAAAGCAATTTTATTGGTTCGGCGCAATACTAATGTTTACAATTAACGATTTCTGTGGAAGTGATAGCATAGTATACTATATTTTCATCGAACCACTGTTCGTTGTCATATCTTGTGTGCAAGATGGTTTCCATCCAGTGACATCCGCTTAACAATAAGATATACCCACCAAGCTCAGAAAAAATAAATAATACATCGGCAATGGATCCGCAGAATGAATACGAGAATTTCGACTTGCTGATTTTTTATTCCCGATTTACCGATGCGGTTGCTAAATTTGCATATGATGGTGGAAAAAAAAGGCAACCGAAGCAGTTTTCGATTTCCCAAGAAGTCGTACATAATATACGAAAGCATAATGGAATTTCCCCCTCCATCTCCTGGCAACTAGTTGCATCATCACTTTCACAGAGGCCACCTTACATACATATGTACATAAACCGAAAGCCAGTTACCGACAATGAGTTTTAGCGCGAAATTTAACGTACATATCAATGTCAAAGGCCGAAACCCACTGACTCCCCTGATATTTCTGTCATTTTTCGTTACCTAGTGAACCGTCGTTAGGTTCACATTAATCAGTAGCAAATGGTTCCAATAGTCCTCCGAAGTTTTCGCCATTTATTATTCATGGGGTCACAATTTTTGAACTCTTTTTAATGGACCGAGGGGTCTTAAAATATTTGTTCTGCTAAGGAATTTGCTTTTCTTATCGCTATGCTATGCAAAGGCAATCAAAGGCATTTCTTTTCTGCTAAGAACTTTTTTGAAGATAAAATAGAATTTAACAGGATTTCTGAAACGGAGAAAAAATGTTAATAGAGTAACCACTAGGGAATTAAAAAAATCTTAAGCATTCTAATGATAAACTGGCCTTTTGTCGCAAATAATTGCCATTTCGAGAATTGAATCCGAACTCAAGATAAAAAATTATCAAAAAACAAACAAAACATTTGTTTCCATTTCTAGTTAAATACGTACATGGTACATATGTTCATTGTTCACACAATCCTAAAGTACATGAGCTTTAAAGAGTAGGTATTTCTTTAAGAAAATTGGATAAGCCCATAGGGGCATATTGTGCAGTCATAGCACCCTTTAACACATTTTTTTAAAGGAAATTTAGATAAACTGAACCTATATAAATTCATAAATACTTGAATTATCCTAAGACACCCATGGCTCTTGATAATATCACTTATTTCTGCGCATAAACTTAAATATACAGATCATCTTTGAGTTGATTAGCACAATAGGACAACCATTTATCGAATTTTCAGTTTTTGCATATTGTTTAGAAGGGGAAATGTTGTGGTTCAAAATTCTTCAGTATATAGAACAACCTCTCAATCATTAAAAACTCTCTCAAAAAATAAGTAAACATACTGTGATAAAAAAAATAAATATCGTTCACGATGAAAAAACACACTCATTGATCAGTTTAATAAATAACGCTCACTGGTTGGAAAAGAGTCATCATGCCTCATATATTTCCAAGGTCAAAATTAGCAAAAAAAAAAATCAGATACTAAAGCAATTTTAATATTAATTAGCAAAATATTCATCAGCACTGCTTAGCACTAACAAAAAACACCAAAAATAATACATAAATCGGATTTATACTTTGATAATGAGCTTTATGAGGCTATAAGAGTCAATTCATGGGCTGAGCTAGATTAATAATAATAGAATATAAATCAAGGTGATCTGTAAGAGTCTAAAAAGTAAAATTAAAAGTGAAATAACTTAACTGTATTTTCTTTTGGAGCTGGAGATGGTTTGCTAATTTTATAAATATTTTTCATGTGAACCCAGTATAGTCAAGGGGCTTATAAATTATTTTAATGGAACAAAAAACCTCATAGGCATTTGCCATTTAACAAAGTTTTTCTAACATTTTTTATTTGTAAAAACCATCAAAATGTTATCAATAAAAGAATAAATAATAAAAGTCGAAATAGGCGTTACCTTTTGTTTTGGGATATTTTGTTAATTATCGGAAAATCTTTTAATGGGTGGCAATTATAAAAAACGCACCCACCCGTATAATGTAAATATACAATGCTTGATTACATGAAAACCACTTCAACTGTATGGTTTTTGAAGTGTGGCAATAAATCTGTTTATCATTAGGGTTTGCAGTAGCAATTCTATTACACTGAATTTCGCTTATCTACGAGTTGCAAGTGATTCAGCAGACTTAACTGACTCGTTGTATGTACAGATATCGGTTGCGAGAATAAATGTTTACTTAATGCGTTCGAAAACGGTTTCTTTTGCCTATTAGACACATTTGCATGAGCAGTACGTATACGTGAAATCTGAAGTTTAAGCTTTCGAGCGTTCAATACACCGCAAAAGAAACCGACTAGGTCGTTTTTAGGTATAAAAGCTTTAAACCGTGTGCTCTATACTTAACCACTTTTGTTTTTACAGATATGCGATTGTGATAGGATGAGTTCAAGAACCCCACTCAAACTCAGGAGTACTCCTTTTGGAGTACACATCCTCTTCGCTGCAGTACTCTTCACCTTAATTCAATCATCGAAACAGGTAACTATCATTTTGTTCAATCCAAACTTATTAAGAACCCAAAGTGTATAGCCTAGAGGAATCGTAATTCGATATATTTAGAAAATCCACATTAGAATAAACCTGAAAAGCGAAATAGATGCGGCTTTACGTCATCTGTGAATATAAAATTTTAAAAGCGCGTGAGGGAGTCAAAACAGATGCAAGCCCATTAAAAAATTTATTATAATAGACCCAAG